ATTTAGAAGTGCTTTAGAAACATTTTATCTAAGAATATGAAGCACGGGGGAAGGAGAGCAGAGATGGTTTGGAAAACTGGTTCTACAGGAAGGACACAGGGGAGTAGTACATGGGGAATTCCAACCTTCAGTAATATTTCCTCTCTTAAATATCTGAAACAACTTTGACAAAATGTTAAGATTAAGATATTCAATTAGGCTGGCTGGTTAGCTCAGTTGGGTAAAGTGTGGTGCTGGTAACACCAAGGTCAAGGGTTTGAATTCCTGCACAGAAAAAAAAAAAAAGATATTTAATCAATTCTAGCTGAGTTAGTCCCTTGATATTCAAACATACATTAATGAAAAGAAAAAGGTATAACTGATCATCTAACAAATATCAGTGAAACATTTACAGACGTATCTTAAAAAATGGTGACAGTCAACACAAATCAAATTGTCAATTCTAATATCATCATGGCACCATTAACACTTAGGGTTCTCAATCTTGGTCACAATCTTGGTACTATTAACATTTTAGGCTGGATAAGTCTTAGTTGTGGGGAAATATCCTGTGCATTGCAGGATGTTTAGCTGCATCCCTGGCTTCTACCTACTAGATGCCAGTAGTACCTCCAGCTGTGACAATCAAAAATGTCTCTAGGCATTGATAAGTGTCTCCCAGGGCATAAAATTACCATCCATTGAGAATGACTTATCTAAACTGTTGAACTGACTGATTTCACAATTCCCTCCTCCCCAAATGTCTTTGTGACTATAACATCATCAGATTAGCATGATAAATACAAAGATAATTTAAATACCTGGCACAAGCAAGGAGGAAGATAAAGAAGGAGAAAGCAATAATAAATAGGAATGAAATTCTAATACATGCTACACATGGATGAACCTTGAAATCACAATGCTAAGTAACAGAAGCCAGTCACACAAGACCACATATTATATGATTCCATTTATATGAAATGTCCAGAATAGGCAAATGTGTAGAGACAGAAAATAGATTAGTGGGTGTCTAAGGAGGGAGCTTAGGGGGTGAAGGTGGTATGCAGGATTGAGAGAAATGGAGAGTGACTGCTAATGGATACAAGGTTTCTTTTTAGGGTGATGAAAATGTTCTAAAATTGGCTGTGCTGATGGTAGCACAACGCTATATTGAAAACCGTGAAACTGGACACTTCAAATAATTAAATTCTATGGTATGTGAATGGTATCTCAATTAAAAAAATCAAAGAAAGCAGCAGTATAGGTTGCACGGACTTAAGACTCTGATGCGGAAATCCGCTATATTGAAAACCGTGAAACTGGACACTTCAAATAATTAAATTCTATGGTATGTGAATGGTATCTCAATAAAAAAAATCAAAGAAAGCAGCAGTATAGGTTGCACGGACTTAAGACTCTGATGCGGAAATCCCTTTGTCTTTTCCATCTTTTTTTCCAAGGAGTATCACTAAAATTTCTAAAGAACACTTCCACCTCTCTAAAGACAATATGAAACCAAAAATCTAGCACTGTTCTAATAAGGACTGATCAAAGGAAACTGATGAAAGTTGACAAAATGAGTCACTTTATCAAAATCGAGTCTTTTGCTTAAAATATCTAAAAATACTGATATAAAAAACAGTAAAAGACAAAACATGAATACCATAACATCTAACCCACTCAAATCAAGTGGAGGAAAATGAGAGCCTGAATACTGACAAGTATTAACAAAATGTTTATTAAAAAATCTAGCACAAACTTCTATTTTTGGCAACAAGGAGGACCAGGTAATGGAAGGAAGGAAGAAAGGAAGGAAATTTGAAATGCTAGACTTTTTTAAAAATGTTTTTAAATGTATGTCTGAACTCAAAAGTAAAAAGATAATCCTCAATTAAAAGATTAAAAACCAAAACAAAAAACCCTGAGCCATGCAAAGGAAGACAAGGAGGAAGCTGACTTTCTTGCCCTTTTGGTAGAGATTGAGAAGGGTTGTTTCTCCAAGGATTTGCAGCAGCAGTGTGGTCCCAGTTTTTGTTTTGTTTTGTTTTGTTTTTAAGTAAACACATAAAAATATAATTTACAAACAACAAAAATACAGAAAAAAAGATCAAGAGGCATATCTCTTCAGGTGGTAATAGTGGCAATCTCCTGGCACTGGAACCGTTTGTATTTTCTATTTTATTCTAGTTTTCTATAGTGACCAGCTTGATTTCTAAAATAATATAAAGTTACTTAAAAATAAATTAAATTAAAAGTGGCTTGGAGTTGGCTGTACAAGAGGAAAGAAATCCTCTCTGAAGCAAAGCATCCTTGGCCAAACTCCAGAAAATTCCCAAAGATAAAGTCCCCCCGCCCAAAATGAGCTCAGAATTAAAACATACAAACTTATTACTGCCACTGCAGCCACCACCACCACCACACTATTGAGAAACAGCATGCAGAAAAACAAAGGGCAGATTCAGATCTCCATGTATTTCAGATTTTGAAATCATCAGATGTAAAATCTAAAATAGAAATTTTCTGTAACACCAAGGTCAAGAGTTTGGATCCCCAAACCAGTCAGCTGCCAAAAAAGTAAAATAAAATAAAATAAAATTTTTTTTTAATTTTTGAAAAAATAAAGGAAATAAAAGAATGATTGATGAACAAATGAAAAATCACACATAAAAATAACCAAACAGAACTTCTAGAAGTTAAAGATATAATCAATGGGTTACACAAAAGATTTGACCCAGATAAGGAGCAAATGAGTAAACAGAGAAAGAGAGTTCTGAAAAAAAGATTCAAAATGCATACAAGATTTATAATATTTAATAAGAGTTTAATAAGCATGGAGGATAGAGTAAGAAATTCTAATATACATCTACTAGAAAGATCTGAAGGATATCAGATTAATAGAACAGAAAGAGGCAATATGAGAAGAGACAATATTAAAAGAAGCCAAAAGAGAAAAAAGACAGTTTAAGAACAATGAGAGTGATAGCTGACTCCTCCAGAGCAAAAAGTAATTCAGAGAAAGAATAAAATCTGCAAAGCACTAAGAGAAAAATAATTGTCAACCTAGAACTGCATACTCAACAAAACTATCTTTCAAGAATGAAGGTGAAATAAAGGCATTTTCAGACAAATAATTGGGAAACCTTACTATCAACAAGCCCTCTCTAAACAAATATTTAAAGGATGTACTTTAGTAAGAAAGTGATACAAAAGGAAGGTCTGAGATACAAGAAAAAACCATGAGGGAGAGAAAAAAAGAAGGGAAAACATGTTGCCTGATCTAAAGAAACATTGGTTTTATTCATTTAACAGTACTTTCAATATTTAATTTGTAGGGTTAAAAAAATAGAACTAAAATACAAGACAAGAGCTTAAAAGTTGTAAGAGAGAATAACTAGAGTTCAAGTAATCTAATAGCATGGTACTATTCCATAAAAGGGTGAAGATATTACTTAATTTTGGCCTTTGCTATGTTAAATATGAAAGGCATAATTTTGATAGTGGCCTCTGGGAAAAAAAAAAAAAAAGAAATAGAGTGAAAAAACTTTAAGCCAGTAAAAGAAAAAACTATATAGAAACAACTACTAATAAATCATCCAATTATCCAAAAAGATTTAACAATTTTAAACTCATTTGCACCCAGTAACATAGCTTCAAAGTGTACAAAGGAAAACTTTCATCTTTCTCAATAACTGATAGGTTAAAGACAAATTAATAAAGCTGCAAAAGATGTGAATACGATTAACAAATAAGGTTGCTCTAACTGCACCTAAATAATGGAAGAATACACATTTTTTTTCAGATAACACATGAAATTTTTTTATTGAAACATTTTTTGTTTGTTTTGACAGTTGGCTGGTATGGGGATCAAACCCTGGACGTTGGTGTTACCAACACCAGGCTCTAACCAACTCAGCTAACCAGCCAGCCCCTGCTCAAATACTGATTGTACATATTTATGGGGTACAGAGTTATATTTCAATACATGTATACAATGTGTGATGATCTAATCAAGATAATTAGCATATTCATCATTACAAGACTTAATCATTTCTTTGTGTACATTTGATCTCTTTTCTAGTCCTTTGAAAACATGCAGTAAATCATTGGTTTTTGTTTTTTTTTTCCTTTTTGTCTTTTTTCGTGTCCAGCAACGGATCACAACCCTCAGTGTCGCGCCCGTACCGGACCGGGACCAGCAACGGGATCGCAGCCCTCAGTGTTGCACCCGCACCTCGCTCAGCCAGTGAGCGGGAACCGGTCTGTATGTGGGATCTGAACCCTCGGCGGGAGCGGGAGTGCCGCCACGCTCCCAAGCGGTGCACTGTAGCAGTGCGCCACTGGGCCGGCCCCTAAATCATAGTTAATTATAGATTCCTGGGTCAACTCTACACCAATAGAACTTACATTTTTATTTTTCTTTCTTTTTTTTTTCCCCATCTAAGCTATAATTTTGTATCCATGAACTAGCCTCTCATTTTCCCCCATGTTTGGAAATTTAAAAGCGTACCTCTAAGTAATTTATAAGTGAAATAAATCATAGGAGAAATTAGAAAATGAATAAAAAAAACATTTTAAAAAGTATACCGTACCAAAATTTGTGCAATGCAACTATAGCAATTCTTAGAAGTATACTGAATGTTCATATTTAAAAACTAAAATATGCATCCAATTTAAATTTTTTTAAAAGACAATAAAAATTACACTTTTCAGAGGCATAATTCAAGTAAGTTAACAAAGTAGTGCACTATGCAAGTTTTCAGGTAACTAGAAACTGGTTTTAAAAATAGATAAAATACAGTAATCATTAGTAATATTAGACAATTATGAAGTGCTTGCTTATATCTTTAACATTTATAAGAATAAACTATTTACTAATCTATCTCTAGCAAACAGACCAGGACCTGGGATATAATAAGCATTTAAGCATTTAATACTTGTTAGACGAATGATACTAAGTAACACAAAAATATAAATGTGTGAGTAGTTATTAAAGTACCAGATGAAAAAAAAGGACCACTTACCTGGTAATATAATTTTATCTGTCTCACCAAAATGGAAAGATTATGAATTCGAAGTGAGGCATCATTGTTGACTTTTTTATTTACTCTCTGACTCTCCGATTTAGGATTACTGTAAAAAAAAAAAAAAAAAAAAAAACTTTAAAATTACATTGAAACTTAACTGAACCTACAGATGACTAAAACTAATCATATAATACATTTTTTTCTTTAAACAAATTGTATATTCATCTGCATTAACAAAAGTGATCCAAAAGGACAGGTGATAACTTTGACATGTATCATGTAATTGTAATTAATATAAATGCATCTGATATTCCTAAAGCAGTAGCAAAATAAATTTGAAGCCTAAGTCAGATGTTCCCCTTCATTCTCATTTTGTTATTTCCTGGGATGATTAACCTCTTACTTCCTTTGAATATACATTTCCATCATCCAAAATAAATCCATTTAAATCAAGAATTTAAAAATATGGGCTAATAACCAATAAATGTTATTTGTCCTCACTGAGTAATTGGAATTATATTTGAGCAAGCAATGTCCCAAAAAATTAAAGAATGAAGTAGATGACACAGGTTAATACTTTTATCTTGGGTGAACTTTATAGATTCAATGAAAGCAAAGGGATGAATCATTCTGAGGTAGCAGAAACTGAGGAATAAAAATAGTCAAGCCATGGTTAAGAATGGGAAAATCATGTAAAAGTGGTGGCACTAGAACAGAAGGTTAAGTTGAAGCCAGAACACAAGCAGATATGAGCAAGTTCCTCACTAGAGCAAACAGGCCAGGTTGCAGAAAGACATTACTAAGTGAAATGGCAGATAATAAATCAGGATACTCTATGCAAGGGCTGAGTCCAGAATATCAGAAAGCAGAAACCTAAGCAGTTGCTGGGACAGAGTATTAACCCATGATTACAGAATTTAGATACAGGTACCTCCATACAAGGATGCAGAGAAGTCAAGAAACTGACACCTATGAGCCGAATAGAAACCTCTCATTCCTTAACCCTTCTTATGAAGTCCCTTATACTACTAAAGCCTTCAGTTCCTTCCCTAAACAGATTAGACTCTATGCTTTATTTCAGCAATTCTCAAATGCTTAGGTCTCAAGACCCTTTTAAAATCTTTTTTTTTTTTTTTTTGGCATTTGGCCAGTACAGGGATCTGAACCTGTGACCTTGGTGTTATAAGGCTATTGCTCTAACCAACTGAGCTAACTCGCCGGCCTAAAATCTTAATTGATGGCTCTACACAACTTTTGTTTTTGTGGGCTATATTTATCAATATTCACTGCATTAGAAATTAAAACTGAGAAAATTTCAAAGTTATTTATTAACTAATTTTAAAAAATAATAAATCCATTATACACTAACAAATACCAATTTAAAAAATTTAGTAAGAAGAGTGATATTGTCTACTACTTTTGCACATCTCTTTAATGTCTGGTTTAATTTTTAAAAACAGGTTGATTCCCAAATATATGAAGAAGTTTCGGTCTCACACATGTAGTTAGAAGTGGGAAGACCCTATGGTCCCCTGAAAGGATTCTCAGACCACAGTCCGAGAATCACTGCTTTACTTCTACCGTTCTCTTGCCAGCAATCCAACATCTTGAACCTTTTGCCCTTTGGCCATGCCCACACTGTCAATCCCCACACTGTTAATCAGTTCAACCATCTACACTGAGATTGCTTACAGTATAAGATGAGAAAATAATACAATCAAACTAAGCTAAAATAGGAAGGAATAGCTATTACAAAAAGGAGAAAGGAGGGCAAAGTTGCTCTCTCACCATAAAGAACTAGAAAACTGGACAAAACACATGAAGAAACCATCTTCAGACCTTTGACAGTAGATAATGCAAGCCTATAATCCCTAACTAGGTTCTCTCTACTGCGGCAGTGAGGCACTTTCCAAAATGAGTTATAAAGAGGGGGACTGCCCAAATGTCACTGAACTTGAAGAAGCAAAGTTGGAGTTCTGAGGAGGCTGAGTTGACTGAAATTTTGACAAAAGAATACCAGAGAGAAGGGAGCTACACAACAAAGAGTTCCAAAAATCTGCCTTTAATATTTTGGCTAAATATTAAGTTGCACATATATCCTCTGAAACTCCATAAGGCTAAGCAGAGAACAACAAACTACAGGAAAGCTGTAAGTTAAACAATTCCCAAAGCTCACAAACTGAGAAGAGAAACTCAACTTCTGACCTGCCAGAGTGGAGGGGAGACCTTAATGAACATCCAGAACATTCAGTAGAGACCTCAGAAGAGTCATGTCTTAGAAGCAGGACTAAACTAGGGGTTGAGTAAAAGCTGTTCAAGAACTTCCCTAACAACGCTTAATAACAAGCCTTGAAAGGATCAAACTGACTGCAAGTAACTTGGCAACCTGCCAAAACAAAATTCATTGCTCTTCAAAAAACAAAATCCAGGGCCAGGCCGGTGGTGCACTGGAGAGTGCGCCGCTTGGGAGAGTGGCGGCACTCCTGCCAAGGGTTCAGATCCCATGTGGAGACCGGTTCCCGCTCACTGGCTGAGCGTGGTGCGGGCGCAACACCGAGGGTTGCGATCCCGTTGCCTGTCCCCGGTACGGGTGCGACACCGAGGGTTGCGATCCCGTTACCGGTCAGTAAAAAAGACAAAAAAGGAAAAAAAAAAATCCAGACACTCTAAAATTCCACCATATGATAAAAATTACTAGACATACAAAAAAATCAGGAAAATGTGATCCATAACACAAAAATGGAAAAGAAAATGGAAACAGTCAATAGAAACAGACCCAGAAATGAAAGAAATCATGGTAATCACAGATACTTTAAAACAGTTATAACCGTTTTTTAAAAAACATGATTTAATAAAAAATACATGAACATTATGTGGACAGAAAAAGAAACTATTCAAAGAGCAACAACAACAATAAAACCCAAATGGCACTTCTAAAGCTGAAAAAAACAATACCTGAAAATAGAAAATTGTATAACTAAAGATTAGCGAACTTGTATAACTAAAAGCAATCCAAAGAAACAGAGAGAGAAAACAGAAATAAATGAACAGAGAGTAAGTGATCTACAGCACAGTATTAAACTTACAGAAAAGTTGCATGAATAGTACAGTCTTTTTCCTGAACCACTTGAGAATAAACTGCTGACCTGATACCTAACAAACCCTGAATATTTTAGTGTTTCATTTCTCCAAACACATATTACTAACAAAATCAGAAAATCAACAATGATATATTTCTATATCTATTCCAATCTTAGATCTCATTCAATTTCTCCACTTGTACCAATAATGAATGGATATCCTTTAAAGGCAATGGATCCAGTTCAAAATCACACTTTGCATTCAGGAGTCTGACCTGCAATCTTTAGTCTCTTTCAACTTGGAACAGCCTTTCCTTGAAGTTCATGAACTAGACATTTTAGAAGGTTACAGGCCAGTTATTTCATAGAATGTCTTTCAGTTGGGTCTGTCTGATTAGACTGTGTCTGACTCATAATCAGGTTCAGATTATGCATTTTTGACAGGAAAAACACAGAAGAGATGCTGTGTTCTTCTCAATGCATCCTAAGATGTGGTACATGACTGATCTGTCTCATTACTGATGACATTCATTTTTATCACCTGATTCAAGTATTATCTGCTGGTATTCTCCATGATAGTTACTATTTTCCTTTTGTGACTACAGGTGCTTCTCAACTCGCAGTGGAGTTACATTCTTATAAACCCATCATAAATTGAAAATATTGTTAAAACAAAAGTGAGTTTTCCAACCAACTTATAATGGGTATACCCAGACGTAACCCTATCATAAATTGAGGAACACACTGAATGTGCATCACTTTCCCACCATAGTAAGTCAAAACATCATTAAGTCAGACCATTTAAGTTGGGGACCATCTGTATTAAGTATTTTGTGAGCATGTACTTTGAAACTATGCCAATAATCTGTTCTTCATCAAACCTTCAATTTATTTATTTATCTACCTATTTATTTATATCACTACAGACTGATGGTTCCCTACTATATTTAATAGGTTGTCATCTATCACTAATTATTTTGATGTTCAATGCATCCTAGACATGGCCAGTGGGGCTCCTTCGAGCTGGTTTCTGTGTCCTTTTTGTATGTTCCCATCATTCTTTGAGTACTTTCTTGCTTTCTGACACAAAATGTTCCAGGCTGTTATTTAACTTTCCCTACTACAACCATGAATAAGCCATTTTTCCATTTTAGTGAAGAATTGTATCTTGAAGCCAAGATCAAGACTATAGGGCCGGCCCGGTGGCGCACTGCTATAGTGCGCCGCTTGGGAAGCGCGGCGGCACTCCTGCCGAGGGTTCGGATCCCACATACAGACCGGTTCCCGCTCACTGGCTGAGCGAGGCGCGGGAGCATCACCAAGGGCTGCGATCCCGTTGCCGGTCCCGGTCCGGTACGGGCGCAACACTGAGGGTTGCGATCCGTTGCCGGTCACGAAAAAAGACAAAAAAAAAAAAAATAATAAC